AGAGTGTTAACATTGGTGCCTGTAAATTGGGTAGTGGTGAAGCGGAAGTTGTTTTGCCTCTACTAGAGAGTTACTGAAGGTGAGGATAGATGGTTGAGGGAGTAGTACAGGCAACTCCCACTTAATGCTACTTTGCTTAGCGCTATTTCGCTATAATGCTCGTTTTAAATTGATACCTAATTTCACTTAGCACTCAGCAAGTTTCATTATAACGCTCATGGTCGCCATCGTGGGTCATTAAAAACGCTTGCGGTCGCCATCTTGGATCGTCAAATACTTTAGATTTTGCTTAACACTTGGCTTTTCAGGAGCCAATTAAGAGTGCTAAGTGAGGGTTGCTGTATGCATTAGTTGGGCACATTTGTAGAATGGACAAGAATAGAATAAATGTAGATCCCTGATGATACAAAACATGGTACAGATAGTCTGACTGACATTCTTATCCAATAACTGTTAGTGCTTCTGGACTGCATGCTGGTTTTTATATTAATGTAGTCTAAAGTAGTAATAGTATTATTAACAATTTTTTTTCCTGCTATTCACTGAGCTTCATGGAAAGAGCCTATATTTTGTTTTCTGTGACAGCTAATTTCTGGTTTAATGCTCCAAGGGAACTCTTTTCAGTGCTAGTGTTTCAAGAGGTTTTTTTTTTTCTCCCCTCAGTATTCCTTAAATCCCTTTTCATATGTGGAATAAGTGTGCCATTTATTATACAATACATAGCTTGGTTGTCTGCTTGTGTATAGTATATCAAAACAGTAACAAATGTATCATTAATGTAAGTAATCACATAATGTTAGAAGTCGCATGACTGTATTAATACAATATGGCTTTATTTTGACATAGGGGATGTCCCACTCTGGTGCAGGCATTACCAGGTCCTAGCACACAAGTTACTGCTGGAAGCAACCATACAGCTATTCTCTTAATGGATGGACAGGTGTTTACATTTGGAAGTTTCTCTGTAAGCTAACAATTCTGTTTTCTTTTATAAAGAAATTACTTAATATATTAAACTTTTAACATTAAAGTTAATTTATAGATAGGTTTTTCTATACACATATACTTGCATGTGCCTAACTTATGTCTGCTATGCATTAAACATTTGTGCCTTTAAAAAGATGAGTTAAAAATGTTTTGGTATTTCCTAATGTATTCATTCATGTGAGCATTATGTAATATTTATCTTTCTTATTAGGTGAAACAGTTTTCTTTTATTGTCATTATTACAACCTTGTTTAGGTCCACTGCTCAAACAGTTTTAATTCTGGCCAAGTTCAAAGTTTTTCAGCTCCTATTTTTGTGTCCATCCTTCTGAGAAATAAGGCTACCCAACTGCTGTTCAAGTTTAAAAACTTAAACATTATTGCTATTTAGGCTGCCAGTAAGAAACATGGGCAAGTTAAGATGTGTCAGAATGTAGGGTGCTATGTAACTTATTCCCCATTGTACATATATATGTATTTCTATATTTTTTTCACATACCCTGCACCTTGCCCCCAGAACAACTGGAAAAATTGGGGTTTGCATTATATGCCAGGAAAAGGGATCTCCACAAGTGTAGAAAGAGGGGAGGCAGAGAGATGGCACCATTAAATGCTACTCCTCTGGGAGCCACAGCAGATAACACTGCCACCATTCCCTGATTCTTCCCCCAGTCCCTGGCACCAAATTTCTGGACCCTTGGCAAACTCCCCTCCACAACTGCCCACCGGATCAGGCTGCTGCACCACCTTGGGGTTATGTGGCCTGATTTGGCACCCCACATATAACTCGGTACACAGGTCTAAAGTAATGTGCTGGGTCAGATCCAGTGCACTGAGTGTGGGACAGCCTGGAGCTGTGGACTGACACCGGAGCCATATACTGGATCCAACCCCATGAGCTGTTTCTAGCGCTGATGCTGAGCCTGGGACTGTGTGTTAGCTCTGGAGCTAGGTGCTGGCTTCAACCTCATGCACTGTCTCTGAAGCTGTGCATTGAGCCTGAAGCTAGGTGCCGGGTCCAACATGGACTTGTTGCTCTACCCTGGAGGCAGCGCTTGGGGTCAAACCCAGCATGTGGCTCCAGAGCCAGCACACAGTCCTGGACTCAGAGTATGGTCCCAGGCTTGGCATGCCGCTACAGAAGCATGGCACAGAGTCAAACCTGGCATGTGGCTTCAGACCTGGTATGTAGTCCTGGACTCTGCTTACTGGGTCCAGCTTGGCACATGGCTATGGAACCAAGCGTATGGGGTTGGACTCAGTGTGTGGCCCTGGAACTGGCATGATGGATTGATCTGTTGGCCCAGCCAGCCTACAGGGCTGGCAGGAGCCACAAGAGCAAACTCAGCTCCCTAGCTGCTGCCACTCACAGATTCACAGAAGTTCAGGGCTGAAAGGGACCTTCTGAAATCATCAGGTCCACTCACATTCCTAAATCAAAGAATTTTTTTTCCAGGTTTCCCCTCAAAATCAAGGTTCATATTATATATAGGGACATTCAATATGCCTAAATAAATAAATAAAAGGGTATACTATCCTTCAAGGATGTTTAATGTATATTGCATTAGACTTAAACTTGTCAGTCACTTAGGCAGTTTTTACATTTTTAATCTTAGTCTATGTACCTTAAAATATATTAAACTGCTTTTATGGTGTGGCTGAATCTGTTGAGCTTTGTAGGGTTAAGTCTATCTTGTGGTCTAGTAAGAATCAAGCAGATGTCCACTGCTTAGAAAAACAGAAGTCAGAAATCATTGTTTTCTTATGCAAAATTGTGTCTACAGCCTTCACTTCCTTTGAATTGTGTGTCATGTTCTACAAGCCCCCTAAAGGTGAATTTGGATAAGAAAAGAATCTGTTTTAGCTACTGTCAAATAACTGGAGTGTGTCAGGCAAAGCTGCTGAAATTAGTCTCATAATCATATAGAAAAATAGAGCTGGAAGGGGACCTCCAGAGGTTAATAAGTCCAACCTCCTGTTTGAGGCAGGATCATCCCTATCCAAACCATCCCATAGAAGTCCATATCTAACCTATTCCTAAAATTATACAATCAACTCTGTTGCACAGCTACAAGGCTTATTACCCAAAGACACCAAAAGCACCTAACCTGACACATGTAGAGCAGGGAGACAAGGGCAGTGTTCTGCAGCTGCAAGGATTGTTACTATTTATGCAAGAGATCCCAGGAAGAGGGCCCCTTCCCTCCTTCTTCCCCCCACTACAAAGGTAGGCAAACCCCCATACATTCCTTACTAATCTGACCATGAGGTAAAAATACTTCTTGATCCCAAATGTGGCCATCAAGGGAGAGGTTAAAGCCTCTAGCCAGGAATCTCTGGGTTTCAGTAGCAGCAGGAGCATTACCATACCTCAATCAAAATCCCTAGCCTTGGCTGCATCCCATACCCACACCTGCTGAAGATGAAAAAAACCTCTGACACCTGTAGCAATAGGAGCAAAAAAAATTCCTTCCTGATCCCTCACCAATGCTTATCCAACTTCTTGAAAACCTCCAAGGCCAGATATTCCACAACTTCCTTGTTCTAACAATGAAGTTTTTTTCCTGATAGCCAATATACATCTACTTTGCTATAACTTCAAGCCTTTGGTCTGCTTACTATTCTCCGCAGGAATGGAAAAGAGGCATCCCTTTTTCATGGCAACCCTTAGGATATTTGAAGACTGCTTATCATGTGCCCCTATTTAATGTTCTTATCACAAATCGATCGTGCCTATTTTTCCCACCTCTCCTCAAAGGGCTTGTGTTCCAGGTCCTTGTTCATTTTTGTGGCCCACATCTGCCAGTAGTCTTTTACTTCTCCACATTTTAAAAACACGAAGCCCAAAACTGCACACAGCGTAGCAGATGAGGCCTAATGAGCGCAGAGGAAAGAGGCAATATCACCTCCTGTGTCTTGCATATAAAGCTCCTGTGGACGCATCCCAAAACTGCATTTGTTTTTTTTCACAGCTGCATAAAGTACTAAAGCACAGCATAGTACAGGCAGTTACTGCACTGTGTGCATAGCGCATGGTTAGATTTCACTGCTATGTCACTGTAGCTGCGCACTATACCAGGGAAGTGCACTACTACGGTGACGTAGCTGGCGAACATGTGTAGACCTGTGTGATCACTACATCACCATAGCACATCGTTATGTCACTGTAGGGTGATGTGTAGACAGGCCCATTGAGTCTGTGATTTACCAAAACTCCTAAATCCTGCTTTGTAGTGCACGAGGCAGTATTCCTTCTTGTTCAGTTAGTCACTTAGCAGTGAGCCACAAATGAGAGCATGCGTTTCCCCAGAGGCAAACAGCAGCGAAGCAATATGTGCTGCTGCTGTTTGTTCCTGGGAAACGCCTGTGCGTGCATAGCACATTACCCCAGATGGGGTAGGAGAGGCTGGGGCCAGCACCTGGGTTGGCCCCAGCAGCCTTACCTGAGGTCCTAAGGACCTCCGGGGGCTGCAGCCACAGCAGCACGGAGCCTGGCTGGCAGCCAGTGTGGCTCTAGCCGGCCAGGTTCTGGTTTCTAGCAGTGCACACTGCCAGCATGTGTGCCACTCCACTTTCTTAAGGCACAAGTTTTTTTGACACTGAGAGATCCCAGGGGTGTCAGTCCTCCCACCTCCCCCCAGCCTGCTTTGGCCCACTGCAAATTGGCAGCATGGAGAATGCCAACTTGCTAAAATAAAAAAAAATCTTGATCAATAAGTGCCTAGCTTTTAAAGCTGTTTTTAAGCATGGTTTTTTTTCGCTAGTGCTTATGGGACAACCAGTTATATTGATATTTGTAGCAACACAGTAGTGGTCTCATCACAAGAACATACAGTTTATAATTAGTAAAACACAGAGGCAATTGAACAATGTGAGTGGCCTTTGGCCATATGATGGGTTTGAAGAACTGTAAGGAGAGGGCTGTTTGTGTTACCTGTTAGGATCATTTTTTAATGCATCTTAATGTATCTACCTTCTGTAGTTAAAAATAAATAAATAAATAAATAAAAATATCATGTACTCCAATGCAGCTGTGCTAGTATTGTGAAGTAAACTTTTATTGAGCCATCTTTCTCAATTAACCCATTTTTAATTTTCAAATATATGATTATTAGTTTATATGAAAATGTTGTGACTAGTATTTATTAATGCTTAATTTTTTTCACTTTAGAAAGGACAGCTTGGCAGGCCAATTCTGGATATGCCATACTGGAATGCAAAACCAGCACCTATGCCTAATATTGGATCTAAATATGGACGCAAAGCTACATGGATTGGAGCAAGTGGAGACCAGACTTTTCTTCGGATTGATGAAGCTCTCATTAATTCTCATGTGCTGGCCACGTCAGAGATCTTTGCAAGTAGGCATATAATAGGTAAGCCCTCTTTTAAAAATACTGTAAATACTGTAAATCTGATTAAATACTATAATTCAAGTAGTATGTGTCAGCATGAGTGATGCAAACTAAGAAAATTGAATCTTATGTGGCTATTTTCCTTTTGGAGTACTTCTACTGCATGTGGCGTACTTGGTTGCTTTAAAGCATATTTTTATTAAAAGTAATTTTGAAAATTTGATTTTTCCAAGCTAATCCTGCATTTACATATTTCATTGTAATCTTACCCCACACACAAGATACTGTATTTGTATCGGTGTATGAGTGCACCTATTATAATAATAGTATTACTGAATAAATGGAAGATGGTGTCTAATAAATGGGATTTTTTTACCTGTTTTTTTTCCTAGGTTTGGTACCTGCTTCTATGTCAGAGCCTCCTCCATTTAAATGTCTTCTCATAAATAAGGTGGATGGCAGTTGCAAGACATTTAATGATTCTGAACAGGAAGATCTTCAAGGGTCTGGCGTATGTCTGGATCCTGTTTATGATGTTATTTGGAGGTAACTGGCTTGTTGTTGAAAGAAGGTGTCAGTATGAAAACTTTATTTATTAGGACCAGCTTTGTGACTGGTCTCACATGTATTCAGTTATCATTTACCACCTACTGTTCAGTTTCTCATGTTTCTTACGTGTTTTTTTTTTTTCCTTTGACTCTTTTCTTTAAGCTCAAGACAGCCAAAACAGCTTCTTTCTTGTCTGTGGCTGCTTGTACATGTGACAGGGATTTAATCCCCTAAGTTTAAATGGTGGGTTTTTAATTACGATGCTTAAAAACGCAATTTTTTTTTTTTTTGGTGGAGTGCCCTATGAACTGCAGGGGGCCCTGGACCTTTCTTTCATGGTGCATCACTTTCTGGGGCCATGGATGCTGCCCCAGCTTGCAGACAGCACCCAGCCCAATCCAACTGTTCCCTGAGCCCGAGCTGGGGCAGCACCTGCCTGCTAGCAGCCCACCCGGGCAGCCCCAGGGGGCACTGCCACCGCAGAAAGAAGGACCCAGGACCTTCTGCATATCATGGCCCACTGGCAGCTTGCCCTCTAGCTGTGGGAGATGTGGGCAGGCTCTGCGAGGAGGGAGGAAGAAAGAAACATTTGGCCCCTCACTGTTTCTGCTTTCAGCCTGCCTCTTCCTTGGGGAGGGGAGCACACTGTCAAAGGCTGCAATGTTACAAATGGCTATGTTGTAAACTAAACTACATGCAGATGTGGTTTAGTTTGCAACATAGCAAACTGACTTAAATCGTAAAAAAATAAAAACCTTGCACATGTACAGCATGACGCAATTAAACTGCAAAAACACATTGTACACTTTCGTCCTGTGTACAAGAGACCTATAATATCATCCGTCTCCAGGCTGTGAGAGACCTTTGGGTGGTCTTATTTTCTTTTCCTTGTGTACCAGCCATATTCAGTCTTACTCTCTTCTCTGCCCGCCCCCCCTCCCCCTGCCTAGATCTGAACTGTCTGCCCTAATCTCCAAACTTAGTTACCACAGTGTCTTCCTCTCCAGTCTCCACAATTTCACAATGAACTGCACCACTCTTGAGCATTATGAGGATTAAGGCAATAGATTTTTGCTCTAAGGCTTTTGCCACCAGATTCAGATGATGACATCAGAATTGTAGCTTTAATTGTAAAAGTTCTAGGAGTCGTCATTGTGAAGGTAATCTTGCAAGTATGGCCAAAGTGAAGGTGTTAGATTAATTTCTGTCTCAATCTTCAAATGATCTGGAAGAGTAAGAAGCAGTAACAGCAGCAGTTGACTATAAGCACTTTTTTCAGAGAAGCTTAGATTCTTTGTTGGGATTGGTTTGTTCTTCATATGGGATCAGGAATTGGATTAAGTAGTGAAAATATGCTGACATGCTCTTAAATTCCAGTTGCACCATGCCATGAGCCCTCCCCTGAATTGCTCCAGCCACAGGATTCCTCAGCCCCATGGGCCATGCTGCCCTGTCCCCAGAGGTGGGATGAGTTAGTGGAAGGCAGCAGTGGGGAGAGGGATCCTGGAGACTGTGGCAGTAGCAGCAGGAGAGCAAGTGGGAGTTAGTGGTGCCCAGACTGCCAGCCCAGGAGCAAGTTAAACCTTGGTTGCTGGTTGTAGCCCAATGATGGACAGCCCTGCTGTATTGCATGAGGGTCCTCTTTATCCCTTGTGTTAAGTTACTATACTCCATTATGTTTCCTAACCCATTTCAAGTGGGATATCCACAAGCAAGTGCAATCCACTTAAAATGAAAAAATAAACCTAAAATATATCAGCTTTCCCAGGATTTACATCCATCTAAACTGAATAATCCTCTTTCACTTGAAAATGTTGTTCTTTACCTCATCCCATACTATTTGCTACTGTCGCTTGTCACGTGACAGTTTTAATTAGATTTTAAGTTCTTTAGGTAAGGAAATACGTTATTTTTGTCTCTTACTGCGACTGCAAAGTCTCTCATGTAATCTGAGTTTTGTAATCTATTATTTTACTAGTTTGTCCTTGAGGATATTAAGAATCTGGTTACTGTCATATTTAATAAAAAAGCTAACATTCCATAAAAATCCTAACATTCTATACTAAGAACTGGGATTAAAATGTTTCAGGATGTTTAAATGGCTTAGTTAAATGTCTGGTAAACTAAATTTTTTTGATACATTTTTGCTGTCTTTTTTGTGGTCAGGTTTCGACCAAATGCTAGAGAACTGTGGAGTTACAATGCAGTTGTTGCTGATTCCAGGCTTCCTTCAGCTCCAGACATGCAATCACGATGTAGTATTCTAAGTCCAGAACTTGCTCTTCCAACAGGATCAAAAGCTCTAACCACCAGGTCTCACGCAGCTTTGCACATTCTAGGTACAACTCTATGGGTGAATTGGGAAGATAAAAATAGTAGATATGTAATATAATATACAATACAAATAAAATGACTTTGTTGCTTTTTAACTGCCAAAAAACATTTGCTATTTTTCTTAGTTTTTTTAATGACTAAACTTCTTCCAGGATTAGAGTGGCAGATGCGGAATATCCTAGCCAATATTTTTGAACAGTCTACTAACCTTCCTTTAAATATCTTTTTTTGTGCAAACTAGCATTGGGGGCAGGGAACGTTGATCAGACGGTTCTTTAATTTCTAAAATAGAGATTATCCTTTGTCGGATGATGCACTAAAACAGGGGTGAGGCATAGTTGCTAATTATGTTTGTGCCTGAATTTATTGCAGTTCCAGGGACCTTTTAAAAATGGCTTCTTGTTCAGACACATGAAAGGGCAGAGATCAGTCTCATGTTTTGTGTGTTTTTAACAGGCAAAGGAGCTATGTGGAACTAATTTTAAAAATATCACCTCTTGTCTTAGTGAATGGAAGGTCAGTTTGTTACAAGTAAGAGTATCCATCGAAAGAAAATGGCCATGTTTATAGAGTATCAAAACTGCAGAGTTCAACCTTTTTGGGACTGACTTTTCCATTCATCCTGCCCTACTTGATAAGGTCATTACTAATTTCAGTGAAGACCTGGTCCCGAGTCCCACAGTCAATCAAGTGATGTACCATTACTAAAAGTTTCCATTTAACTTAATTGATTTATGTAGTGTTTCATACAGCTTTTGACTGACTTCTCTAAAGAGAAGATGGAAGGTATGTGACCAAGACTAGGGAAAAAATTCCTTGTATTTACAGGAAACGAGGCATAATCCAAGGGTACTGGCAAAAGTTAAAATGATGGTGCGATTGAGATCTGAGGAGTTTTATACCTCCTCCTACATTGTACCATGCCAGACATACATGGCAGAATATGCAATATGTGGGACAGAGCATAAAATCCTTCATATCCCAATCATGCGATGGTACTACACCCTGGGAACTGGGCTGAAGATGGTCCCAAATCGGTGCTGTCAGGGCCTGAGTTAAGTCAGCTCATCAACTTGCCCAGCATCATTAAAGCCTGCGTCAGTTTGTAAACTTCCTTGAAGCCAACAGGATATATATTTGACTTCAGCCTGGCCAGCACAATTTCAGAGCTCTGTTCTTGTTTGAGCAGAAGCACAATGGCTACATCATCTAACTAGTATTGATATTGCCTAGATAGAAAGCCAATAATTTTCTAAGATGCGCAGGGTCCAGCATGATAAGATTTGCTCTTCTTCCTCAATATCAGTAGAGTTGTCAGCAGACAAATAACTGTTAGCTTCATTCTCAGCTCCCTATGACTGTCTTTGCTATTTAGTTTTTCCAGTTTTCTCTGGCTACTCTCTGCAGTTGCTTTGCAATTGTACCCTAATGTTTGTGGGTGACTTGTAAAGACAACTTCAAGAAAATCATATAGCAGTTCATTCAGCAGTCATGATCGCACATAGTATTCTGATATTCATGGTCACACACAGGTTATTTTGATGTTATTGATGCTCAAGTGGTGCTCACAAGGTGCCATTAGTTGGGATTCAGATGCATCTTTTTCTTATTTGGCTGTTAAACCATGATCTGATCACCAGTTCGTGCCTGGCACTAAGACTAAGGCTACAAACAGATGTTACAGTAAAGACATGATTAACCAGTTAATCAGTTAGTAAAATGGGAAACCAACTACACTTTTATTACACATTTTGTGTGCTAACTTTAGCAGCTGGTTTCCATTGAGTCTTAAATTGAATATGTGGCAGGGTGGACCCCACTGGGCTTTGCAACTGGCCGCAGTGTGGTCCTGATCCTGCTGCCGATTGTTGTTTGATGGCAGGGACCGCACCAGGGCTCAAATCCCTGTGTGCTTCTTGCCAGCCAGTGGCAGATTGGGACCACCCCAGAGCATTGCCAATCTTCCAGTAATAATCTGATCATTGGCTGGTCAGCTCTAGGGACCACATGGGAATTTAAACTGGCTCCTTGGGTCCTCGGGGCTAGCTGAAAGTCAGGCACCTGACTTTCAACTTACCTGTGCAGGGGGAGCCCGCAGTCGTGATCCTGGGCTCCCTCTCTACTGGCAAGCTGGAAACTGGGTTCCCACAACCTGGCTTAACCATGATTATTTGGTTATCCAGTTCATTGAAAGATGCTATTACCTTCTTGATTAAGCACGCAGTATTTATGTTCTGGGTTGCCAGTAGGCAGGTTTGTGCATCTCTGCCAGTGCCCCCGTTATCTATTGCATTGACATGCATACTACAGGCTTTTCACTAACACCTCCAGTTGGAGGTACATGCCATGTGTGAAATGATTATAGTGACTACAGCTTGCACACTGTTACTCATTACCAGATCCATGGTATAAAAGCAAAGAGATATGCTAAAATTGAACAACCAGCAAGATAAAGTTTGCGGTCCATGACTATTGATGGAAAAATTTCAAGCACCCTTAGATATTTCACACTACTGTACATGTACTACTGTTGGCACCTCGTATGCTGTTCACCTGTATGGGTTTCTCTGCTAGATTTCTCTAGTGACTTGAGTTAGGTATACTTAAAAGACACTAAGTCTTTTTTTTTTTTTTTTAAACACAACAAAAGTCACGTATACGGTTTTACCAGTCATGTGGCATTGTTGCAAGGAGTGCAGTGTACCGTTATAACCATACCTATTAGAAACCAAATGCATGAGTTAGGTGTAAGATTGTAGGCCACCACCCAGAAACCACCTTAGTAGTCTACAAGGCCAGGAAGGTAACGGTATGACTACTTCAAGTACTGATACTCGATTCTTTACACCTTTTAATCCCCCTTTTGACTTGGTGTAATGTATATTAGTGAAGCAATACTCGAAATTCCTCAGTTTTTTTCCTTAAGTTCTTAAAGTTGGATTTTTGCACATGGGACAGTGACATTGTTTTGTTCTGTTTTTGTTTGTTTGCCTGTTTTGTACCCCTTATATGACTCTGTTTTCCTAATGTCAGATATGCATGAGACATCTGGTATACTTGGTGGAATTGCAAATGAGACCTGGAGCCAGAAAGTGCAGAAATTTGTATTTGTCAGGACAAATTTGTTACAGCCATTTCGGGCCTCTTCAGTTCTTAATGAATTAATTAAGCAGAAATTTGCTTAATTGATTTAGGATGCCAGTTATTGTCATGTGAAGGAACTCATGACACCACAGTTATGGCTGTATTTTTCAGCCTTTCCTAATCTTGGAGATGCATAGAACAACTTGGCCAGTCCATTCCTTGTACTACTCTTTGTGTTTAATATTGCATTCCAGTGCCCAGCTTGGGAAAAAGTAGTTTAGGCTGTGTTTTAATGCGTTCCTTGTCCACGTTCCATCCATTGGGCATTATTTGATTGTCTCCCACAAGTGTGAATATAAATACAGCTCTAGGGAAGAAAAAGCAATTGTTCTCGGAAAGCTGTTTTTCTGCATTCCTACTTTTCTTTTCTACATTTTGTCTGTACTGGAGTTCTTTTTGTCTGTGCTAGGCAGTACAGAGGAGGAGCTGAGACGGTTTGCTGGGTGTGCACTTCTTTAGGCCCTTGCCACACATTGCATATACAGTATTATGCAATTGACTGGTTAATCTCACAATAAATTTAGACCAGCCACACATGCAAGTAATTTTAATGCCATAAAAATGTCTACCCTGCTAGAAAAAAAAAACCAACCATCTACAAAGCTACTGCTTGAAAATGTGCAACAACTTAATAGCTGAGTTTTATCCAGCTTTAATTTGAATGTGCACCAGGGCCCTTACAGACCCTAGAGAAATTGATTCATGATGAGGATGTTTCCACACCTTTGAGAAGACAACTTGGATAAAAAAAATTCTGTGTTTTTGCTACCAACCTCAGTTCCCATAAGTGAATGCAAAGGTGTGACCCTCAATGAAATATGGTGTTTGTTAAGTACCCTCCCTGTTAGCTTTGTAAATCTAAAGTGCTACATTTGAAATAAGAACACTTAAGTGTTTAAAAATGATATTTTTAACTTCATAGTTCTTTTACAAATATTTTTGTCACTTACATTATTTCCTTCAGCAGGCTATTATTCTGTCATTAAACCTATTTTTTAAAGAAATATTTCTTGATAAAGGAAATTAGAGCCATAGGGAAAACTTCATAGTAATTCCAGGTTATACCTACTTGTGCAATGGAAGCATAATTATTATTCCTTTTTTATTTAAACCTTTTTGCTTTGTCCTTTACACCTTTGTACCCCTTGTTTAGCCAACATATTATAGATAAAAACCTTCTTCATGTTGTAAAGTGATCTGTTTTACCTGTTAGTCTCCTTTATCACTCTATTCCAAATGCCTTTTTGGCACTAAATTTCCAGACCTAATTTCAGTTTTCTGTGTGTGGTTTCTCCTTCCTAATGTTGCTATTTGGTTTTGAATAAAACTAAGTGTATAGGAGTATATTTAGAGATGAAAGATTAGGTGTCAAATGAGTACTTTATTTCCTTTCTCCATAAAAAGAACACATGAAGCCAAAGAGAAATATGTAAGAGTGTTGTCAAGATATGGTATGCAATTGGTCACATAGGGCATGTCTACACGTTGCCATATGGCAATGTTGCTACAGCGCCGTGCTTCAGCACTTCCTTTTGGAAGTACTAACGCACAGCACAGCATAGGTGGTTGCTGTGCTGTGTGCGCAGTGCATGAGTAGATTTTGTTGCTACAGTGAGCTGACGATCACATGTAGACCTGAGTGATCACTACATCACTGTAGTGTGCCATACAGCGACATACTGCATCACTATGTTGCCATAGGACAATGTGTAGTCATGTCCGTACTAGACCTAGTTTAAATGTTTCTTAGTTAACACACAAGCAAATTCTGAGTCAAGTGTTTGTCTTCAGTGGTAAACCCTTGTATTTCCCCATAGTGGCTTCTCTGGCTATAACTAGATACGGTACTAGTATTTTGCTACATTTATATTAGTGTGCTTGACAGGCTAGGTTGTGTTGCTGCTGATATTTTAAATCTTCATGAACTTCTCTCTCCATAACTTTTTGATGTAGAGTCCCACTGATTTACGGTAATAAATTTTGAATATTTGTTTTTACTTTCTTTCAGGTTGTCTTGATACATTGGCTGCTATGCAGGACTTAAAAATGGGTGTAACAAACACAGAAGAGGAGACTCAAGCAGTAATGAAAGTTTATTCCAAAGAAGACTATAGCGTTGTTAACAGATTTGAAAGTATGTACACAGGATAGCTTTGTTTTAGAAAGAAATCACCTTTGGGGAATGACAGCCTATTTAACATAACTCTCTAACTTTTTTCCCCCTGTAGGTCATGGAGGAGGTTGGGGTTATTCAGCCCATTCAGTGGAAGCGATACGTTTCTGTGCTGATACTGATATTTTACTTGGTGGTCTTGGCCTGTTTGGAGGAAGGGGTGAATACACAGCTAAAATAAAGGTAATAGTCTAATTTTTTCAAAATACAGATTTAAAACCAGGACTTCTGAAATGCAGTTTAGAATAGGTAGGGTATTTTTTGGTGTTTACTTTTTTTGGTGTTTTTTTTAAATTTGTATTTGTTTTTTGTAAATTTGCATCAAAAAATTTAAAAAATCCCAAGGAGCATGAGTTAGGCTTCTTAGTGTGAAAGTCCTGGATCAGTGCCTCATGAGCAGTGATCCTGGTTTTCTCTGTTTAAATATCACAAAATCTCTGATAAAAATCATCAATTAAAAACAGTAAAATCTGTGTTTTTCTGTGATTTAAAATGAAATGACACTATATAGCAGGGGTGGGTGAAATACAGCCCACATGCCGTGCTGGGCAGTGTTTGCTGCTGCTGCCCGCCTGGAGCTCGCACGCTGGGCAGCTCTAGTGGCAAACACTGCCAGGCGCAGCAAGTGAGGGGTGCAGCTTTCCTCTGCGTTGAGCAGTTGCTATCGCTGCGATGCAGCCCCATGGAGCTGGCGCGGGGCCCAGGCTGGCAGTGGGGACGGGTTACTAGCTGGTGCTGAGCACGGGAAAAGCGGCCCCTCGCCCACCCTGTGGCTGGTGCCTCATGCTGCAGCTGCTCACAGTCCGTGTGGGGCTGCCTGTGACTGCTCAGGACAGCCCCGCGCCGGCACAGGGGTGGGGGAGGGGGCGCTTTTCACTGGGAGCATGGGGCCCGCACCAGTGTCCCGAGGCCAGCGCCAGCCGGGTCTAGAGCAGGGCGGCGGGAGTACGGGGTCCTGGCTGGCAGAGGCTCTATGGAGCCAGGCCAACTCCCCCTTCTCCCTGCTGTTGCAGCCCAACCCGGCTCCACAGACCCCTGCCAGCCTGCGCCCTGCTCTGGGCCCCACTGGTGCTGGCCCTGAGACAGTTGGTCCCAAGACAGTGACCAGGGGGTGGGAAGTGGGTATAGGCTGCCTGCTGCGGACTCAGGGCTCCCTACCCTGCTGCCCTCCCCCCAGAGGCTCCACAACCCAGCAGTATGCAAGGGGTAACCCACTGTTTCCCACTTCCTTCTCTTTTAAAGGAGAAAACCCAGGTTTTTCTCCTTAAAATGGTAACATCTGTTTTACTGTTATTTTCTGTGGCAAACAAAACCCGGAACCCTGCTTATGAGGATGGGGACATGGATAACATGTAAAATCAGGAGGCTCATTGCTCACCTTTTAAAATACAATGGAACTTCTAGTATTACCATTAATGCCTCATGTTGCAGGTCATTAAGATAGACCTGTAAGATAAATACTCAGAAATATTAATCAGTATTATGGATTTGCTCAGATGGAATTTTTATGAACCATGTTTTAAGTTGTTCGTTGTTTTCTGAATTCATTAATTTGGCCATAACTATGATGCAGTTGGCATGCTCTGGTTTTTATATTTGTAATTTTATACCAGTGGTAATAAATAATTTGGAAGTGCTTCAGATAATGCCCAAAGGAAAACAAAGAAGTAAGTTTAATTTGTTGACAACTGGCTTTTTTGGTTCCTATCTTGTTATCTAAATGCTGTCTGTGCTTAGACAGCAGTGATCTCTCCCGTGTTTCAAACAAATGGGATTATTAAGAGACCTTCCACTGGGAAATTTACAACCCAGGGTCATCAGTACACATCTCTAGAAGGGCAAAAGTGAACATGTGCCCCATTAATGAAGATTACATTGTTTTCTTTGCACCAAAGCCAGTCATAATCAAGGAACTACCATGACATCTACCCTCATCACAGTAAAAACAAAACAAAAAAATATTTAGTCTGAGGTCAGGCAGAAGGCAGAGTAGGGTGTTCATAGTATCTGACAAAGGAGACTGTCACTCGCTTCTCCATGAATTTGTTTTTAAGATGCTACCCTGCTCTGCCTTCTTTACATAGTTCTCTCATGCATTCAAATTAAACATGTCACTTGTTCCTTCTCCTTTGGCTATCCTGAGGCATTTTACAGATTCTTTATTACTACAGGTATAAAATCAGAATGATAAAAATCAGAAAATGCCAGCTCAATCATAGTTATGACCAAATGAATTCATTTTTACTACCTTGGGTCTGCCTTGCTTATTGAGGATGTAAGCTATTTTGGGACACAGATCACCTGCTGTTCTCTCTTGTGAAGTACCGAACATAGTGCCTAAAGGCAAAACAGCAATTAATATAATAAAGATGTTTAACAGTATTGATTATGATGGTAAAAGCAATACTGGTAAAAAGCTTTACTCAACACCAACAAACCAAAAATCAAATGGCTGCTTTGACAGCGAAGACTAGTGGTACTCCACCAAGATGAGATAAATTAGAGCCCTCAACCAGGTATGGTTCCTACCACTGACCTGCCTTCTTGAAGAAGGGGAATGTTGAGATCTCAACAAAGTTGTTCACTGTCACAAATGTCTCTCATGCTGTCAGTATTGGTTCAGCTCTGAATCTGTAGTTAAGGTCCTCAAGGCAGCTGCCCAGATACCTTCAACATTTACAATTATAATGACTGGAGCTGGCAGTAGCAGTTGATGTGTTGCCAATTAGTATTGATTTCTTACTAATGGAGGCTGTCTTTTTTTTTTTTTTTTAGTGTTGTGTTGATAGCCTGTACTGGATGACCGGTTAAAAGATTTTCATTCCTTTCATCACCTTTAAATATCAGTATCACCATTAGAAGAAATGTACTCCTCTCATTCAGCTGAACATATCCTTATTACTTCATTAAGCTGCAGGTTTTTTGCCTAGAGCACATTCTCCAGCCCTGAGTTTCTTCCTGATCTTTTGAAAAATTGATTAATTCTTTTCTGTGCTTTCAAATTTCTGGACCTTCTGTAACAGTAGAAGAAATGAGTGAAGAGTCAGGTTCTGAACCACTGGACCCTTCATCTTCTCCCAAAGATCTGTTATCTTCTTCCAATGAGTTTCTTTTCCTCTCTTATCATAGAGATCTCTGAAATTCATGCTGGGATTGCACAGTACAGTGCAGCAGCTTCTTTAATCTTGGAGTTTTCCCTCCCCCTGCCACTGATTGGCAGAGGGGCCTGTCACTCATCACTCACTGCCTGCGCCTGATGTCCAGAAGGTAAAAACTGCAGTAGTTTTTGCCTCCCGGCCATCAGGCACGGGTGATGAGCAGTGGGGCCTGTCCACCGATCAGCAGTTGGAGGATGGGGGAGCATGAGGGAAACTCCAAGATTAAAAAAGCTGCCACACTTTGTACTTCCAGCGCAAATTTCGGAGCTCCCTACAGTCAGTCATGAATTATTAGAGTGCTTTTCAGGACTGACTGTGTCAAAGAGCTTATGTGGTGGGGAGTGAGACTTCAATGACTGAGGAGAAGACCCATAAGTTGTTTCATATCTTTCATTCCAGACAAGCTAGTAGTGTCTGTATGTCTATGTCGCGCACTAGTCCAATTATGGACTTTTCCACTTCACCTTTCTAGAATTTTTATTTCAGCTGGTTTGCCTTTAGTCCACAAGGCAAGGGTTTGCTTCTGTCTTCGGAACACAAGATTTGTCCCTACAGATCTTGAAGAATCCTATTTTTGATCACTGCGAATTTTTTCTTAGACACCTTATTCTCTGAACGGTCTTTTAGATGTCCATTGTTATGTCAGCCAGATCGGTCAATGAGTTTGAAATTTTCATGCTTTCATGACGCATCCCTTTTTTACCATATTTCATTACAAGAAGATGGTCTGGAGATCTTATAAATTCCCAAATTGTTTCAGATTTCATTTTGGACCAGGCAGATAGTTATTTTCCAGATTTCTTTCTGTAACCTTCTACTGTTGTAGAAAAGGGAAAAACGGCAAACAGTTCAGTCCTTCCGTTCCCCTCCCCCACCCCTCCCCCCAAATATCCTTTAGTCATCTTTCTTCTTGATCTCAGTAGCCTTGATAAAAAGCCAAGCTGTCTCCTCCCAGAGAATATTTAATAGATTTACCCAGAGAATATCTAATTGATAATGGATGACCTGTGTCTCTTGCTAAATGTTAAGGCTCATTTAATTAGAGCTCAGGCTGCCTCTTCTTCAGTGTTCAGGAATATTTTTGTGCATCAGATCTGCAAAACAACTGCTTGAAGTAATCCTCTCACCCTTCTTAAATGTTCTGCCCTTAACTTGGGTGTAAGATTAAGGGCATGTCTACACTGCAGTTTATGGTCTAATATAGAGGAATCTAAGTTCCTTCATGTAAAATCAGTTCAAGTATTGAAAGTAATGTAACTATGGCAGCACAGAGTTCAGTATGGACTAATGTATTTTGCTTCTTAAAGTAATTTTTCAGCAGGTTAAATTCACTCAGATGAGCTGTGCGCTGCCATGGCAGGAGTGTTCTAGTACCTGAGCTAAGTCACATAAGGAAGCTTGGATATTTCTGTGCTATGCTACAGTCTGTAGTGTAGATTTAACGTTTAGTTGCCCAGCTGCCAAGCACTCTACATTTGTTATTTAGTTAGTAGCAAATAGGACTCATATATGACATCTGTTGAATGAGGTGTATAACCTGTCAGTTGCCCAGAGTGAGATTAGTATAGACAGAATATCTAAAGAAACCACTGAAGTATGTGAAGTAAATCACTGTCTTACATTAACTACTATTAGTACATGGTTTATAATAGGATCCCTAGAGTTATAGGCAAGAAAGAATGGCAAGCAAATACGAACAATGGAATAGAATTTGCAAGGGTAGAGAGACATCTTACGTATTTATTTTCTTTTTTTCAGTTGTTCGAATTGGGTCCAGATGGGGGAGACCATGAGACTGATGGAGACCTTCTTGCTGAGACTGATGTTTTAGCATATGATTGTGCTGCTAGGTAAGCACTTTCCCTTAATATGTTTTATTTTGGCATACATTTTAAACATACATTGGTATGCTGAAGTAAACTGAATTATTAGAATCTGTAATCTAGTAGTGCATTTATCTTTAAAAAAAAAAAAAAAAAAAAAAAAAAAAAGTAGAAACCATAAACAACAAATGCCGTTTCACATATTGTTTAAATATTGAGATATCAAATGGGAAATGAAAGCCTTCCCTCAATATACACTTGTACTCTTTTGCAGAAATGTAAACTTCAAATTTTATATCAATTGGATAAGAAAGGATAAAGAAATTATTTCCATGGCTCTTTTAAATGTATAAATGTCTAAAGGGCACTTTCAAATATACCTAATGGAATTGACTCTCTAGAATTGTGTGGTCCAGTTTGTCTGATCCTGTGAAATTGTGATTATCAAAAGGGCATGTTGTGCTTTGTTTGGCTCATAGTTGAGGGGGTAGGAAAAATACATACAGGTTTTCCTCCTTTTATGCAGTACACGTGTTCCCGGAAAACAGCGCATAACTCGAATTTGCATAAAGGGAACCCAGTTCATAAGGAAACAAATAGGGATACATTCTCACGACAGGGAGGGAGTGGGGCTGGGGCTGGTGGCACTGGGATCTTGCCAGAAGTGGGGCTGGGCGGTGCTGTACTTGGGACAGGTGGTGGCGGTGCTGGGAGCAGGGCTGTAGCCACCACAATTCACCATAGCCCCCCAACCTCCTCTCCCAGTGCCATTGCTGCCCACCCCAAGTGCAGCATGGCCGCTATATATGAGGTGTACACCCCACCCCGGTGCTGCCGCTGGCCCCAGCCCACAGCAGCAGTCTGCTCTCATCCCACGCGCAGATCCAGGGGCACACGGCAGCCCTCACAGCCCTCCCATAATGCACGTAACAGCAAGAGCTGTGCACCTGTGTCCTGTGCCCTGCACCCACTGACAGTTCCCTCCACTTTGCTCCCTGCTGCAGCCCCTCTACCCCTTCCCCTGCAGATTTACCTCGCATATAGTGAATTTTGGGTGTAAAAAGGGTCATCGCATAAGAATGAATTTGTTTATTCAGACCCCACAAAGTGTGGGAAACCTGTATTTATTACTGAAGTTTATCAGTATGGATACTCTGTTTTGGGGGGTTGGGGAGTTGGAGTTACCTGATTTTATATTTTTAGTAACTAGGAGTGACACATTCATGCAACAGTAGACAATTCAACTTCCACTTTCAAGAAACTAGCTCTACTTTAATTCTAGATTTTGGAGTGCCTTGTTGCTTGAAGATCTGTTTAGCTTCTCTTCTATTAGAAATTAATAATAGATTCTCGAAAGGGATCAACTGGAAATGCATATACTTTTAAATAGAAAATATTCCCCAAAAAGGGCTTGGTTGCCATAAGGGCTTGGTTGCCATTATGGTAGTACTAGTGTAAAAACAACAACAAAACAACTTTCCTTAAAGTAGTTGTAAATGAACTCTGTCCTTTTATGAGCTTCCTGAATAGGCAGTTTTATGCACAGCCTGGTGCCATTAAAATCCCAAACTATTAAAAAAATAAATAAAAAGGCTCATACGTGCCTTTCTCGGAGATGCATTTGCTTCATACTTATCTCTTGATCACACAAGACAGCTGCTTTATCCTGCTGTTAATTTGTTGCTCTATATCAGGACTGTTCAACTTTGGCACAGCTGGGGTGCCACATCTCTGACCCACTTGGCTTCATGAACAGCAGGAGAGGCAGCCTCTGGGGCCTGCAGGCTCCATGTTAACTGCTCACAGGGTACCATTTGCACAACCCTGCTATACCACTATGATTAAGTTGTATCTGGCTTTCCCCATTCTACCTGCTTGTTAATTATTCATTTTCTATTCAATCAGCAGTTGATTCACTAGTTCCCAAATGATTCTGACTCGGTCACTGTTCTCGTTACCCACTGTCAGTGCTATCAGATTCATTGTCTTCTGCTTCCTGTAGTCCTTATTCCTGGTTTTACAACTACCCTAAATTTGTTTTCTTTCAATACTATCTATTTACATTTGTTGTAAATATCTCAGTTCCTTGCTTTATTATTGAGCTGTCATGATGCATGATTACTTCTTCATATCTTCCCCTAGTCAAGTTTCAGTTTTTTCTTTGATAGCATGAATCTAATCTCTATTCCATTTGCAACACCATATCCCTTTATTTATGGAGAGACTGGGGGTTCTTGGGTTAGGGAATGAACAACTGAAATGGCTGAGTTACTTGGAACTTTCCTTGAAGAAAGGTGAATAGCAAATATTTTCCATTTTTCTCTTGACCCCTGGGGAAGGCACTGCAAGAAGTAGACAGGTGCAGTAGAAGGCTTTAAAACACATTGGTGCAGGTGGAAGGAGCCTTAAAAATGCTGATCTCCATTTTCTAATTCTAAATAGGTATTAAATAGTCATCGTATTTAATATTTAATAATCATATTGACTGTAGATTTCTTTATTTTGGAATGAATCAAGTTTAATCTATTACATCCTTTCCTTCTCTCCCCCCAATATTTTCTTCTTTCAGAGAAAAATATGCAATGATGTTTGATGAACCAGTTCTCTTGCAAGCTGGTTGGTGGTATGTAGCATGGGCACGAGTGTCAGGGCCTAGCAGTGACTGTGGATCTCATGGTCAGGCATCCATTACTACAGATGATGGGTAATTATTGTTTTCTATCAAATTTTTGTATAAAAGAAGGCAGCTAATGTTACTTGAATGACAGTGGTGTTTTCTTCTTTCAGTGTTGTTTTCCAGTTTAAGAGTTCCAAGAAATCAAATAATGGTACAGATGTTAATGCAGGACAGATCCCTCAGTTACTGTACAGGTAATATTCCTATCCCATTTCAGGACTGGTTTTAGAAGTTCTCTTTTGTAAACGGAAGTGCTATAAAGGTACGCCTACAGTGCTAAATAGAACTAATATTATGGAATATTTGAAAACTTGTGGGAGAATTAAGGTATAGCTGAAAGACAGCAAAGTAAAATGTCATACCAATTTTTGTGCAATTTTAAAAGATCATTCTGATATGTTAAATATTGGCATTTGAATTAAAACAAAAGATAACAATATTTCTTCCTTAATTTAAATCCTAGTTCTGTAAGTGCTGGGTTTTTTTCTTTTAATATACTTCAAAAGATTTCTGTGAATGTTGCTTATTGCTTAACTTTCAACAAGTCCAGTTATAAAATGTCTGAAGGGTCACATGAACTTGACCAGTTCACTTTACAAAAATGAATGTTTTCTTTCAAATGTAGTTAGTGAAAGTTGTGTAACTTGAAGATCTCAAGAAAGTAAACGCTATTTAAGTCATCCTTCTCATGAGTTCTGCAGTACATAGTCCCGTGTAATAAAACCTTCCATTTGTCTTTATGAAAGCCAAATTTATTTCCTCAAATATCGCTGCTACTATGTATTCCAGGCAGCTGGCAAGGTCTGTCAACTCCTGAAAAGTTAAGGAAGCAGCACTGAATAATTTAACTGCATAATCTTCTTTTCTTTTCTTCTCAGTTGCATCCCTTTGAATGTTTTATTTCATCACCCAGCCCTCTTGATCTGTTTTGGCCAAGACACTAAAATTCCTAGATATAGAGCAGCGTGAATCCAAGTACCTCACATCAAGAGGCTGAAGGGTTGTCTTCATTGTGATATAACTGTCATATCCAACGAGGATTCAGCCTCCAAACATTCCTGGAAAGGCAGAGTAATCTCTTATTACACTTAACTCTGGAAAAATGTAACAACACCTTCTCCAAAAGTATTGCATCCACATCTCACTTCTTCCTTTTTTTGAGTTCAAGTTTGAGTACTGTTACAACAGTAAGATAATGAAGTAGACTGCACGGGGAATTTGTGGAATCTCTTTCACTAGAGGTTTTCAAGAGGAGGCTCTGGATAAGCATTGGTCAGGGTTGATTTAGGAATAGCAGATAACTCTGGAGGAGTTAAGGGTCCTCTCTGATTCTTGATCTGCTGCTCTTCACTCTTCCGTTCCTGTTCTGTCTTTTTTTGAAATGTGACATACAATGCTTCATTAAATATTATGTTGTTCAGGAGACCTTTGTATCCTGTAATATGCCTGTTCTCATTCAGCAGGCCTCAGCATCTCTTTCATATTCCTTTTTTTTTTCTTTTTTGCATTTCTTTTAGTAAATTTTTCACCCTAGATCAGATATCTTTCCTTACTGAGGATAAAAATTGGATACAAATCTTACTTATAAATTGGAAGGCAAAATGCAAAAGGCTACCTTTAAATCTAAGAAACCTAAAAACAAGCCCCAGCCTAGATTGGAAAAGCTTGTGCTCCATTCTCAGAGAAAAGTTTCTTAGCATAGCTTGGAGATATTTCTTCAGAAACAAGTAATTAAAAAGTAAATTTGTTTCTAAAGAGTAAATTTTACCATTTTATTTCCAATGTTTTAATGTTTGTTTTGTTTTATAATATAGCTCTAAAAATTAGGCACCTTTTGAAGCAACTTCTAGAATTACTGTATTAAAGGAAGCAGCATCCCTATGTTCCCAGCCAATAATCAGTGTTTCTGTGTTAAAAAATGCTGCCATTTTTCTTGCCCCATTCTTGTAAGTTTCTGGGTGGACTAGGTACAGTGTGTAGCATGCCCATAGGTCAACATATTTAGTTAATTTTGGAATTGAGTAAATCTGTGGTTCTCAACCTTCTTGGACTTGAGGCATCTCTCATTCAACTCAAGGCACCCACCCCTCCATAACTACAGTGAATTGAGTGGCACCCAGTTTTGAAAACGAATTTATATATTTATACTGCTTACCTTCTTGCACAGGGGCCAGGTAGTGGGGTGGGGTATTTGCCAGGCAGGGACAAGTTTGAGCCTGCCCTTAACTGCTTGTCTCCTCGTACCTCACTTATGTCTCACCTCAAGGCACCCTTCAAAAGATCTGGCGTGTAGCACCCCTGGGTGTTGTGGCACCTTGGTTGAGAATCACTGATCCAGAGTGATAAAGGTTCTTCACAGATAACACCCTGATATCAGTCCTTCTCTCATAAACCAGCAAAAATCCAATTCATATGCTGTCCACTGATTACAGTTATGATAGTGTAGTACTGAGAGAGAGCTAGTTTTTCAGGCTCAAAGCCATATTTCGCTATTCTGCAGCCAAAGGAATGGCAATCCCCTGGTTGTGCATTTGAAGGTGAAGTCAGTGTTGTTACTGCTTCTACTTAATTATCAAAAACTTCTAGTATCATTCAAACTCTATATTCCAAACCGAAGTAACAGATTGACAGTATCTTGGTATATTTTCTGGTTTTTTCACTCAAATATCATTTTTTCCTGAAGTGGATTGATCCTTAGACATCTAACTCTAATCTGTCTTACCCTATGTCTTACCCTTCTCACTGTAAGACATTATTAGGATCACACATAATTAAGAGAGATAATAAGATTTAACTTTACTTACTGTATTTCATAGTGGTCTCATGTGCCACTGTTTATATAAGACTCGCACAACCTCTTAGGACAGAAGAGCAATTTACATATCAGTGATTGCTCACAAAGGAGAAATCCATGCCGTTTTGAGCACTGCTTTTTATTTCTGCCAGTATTCTGCCATATTTTCTTATCCATGTCATGATTATTTGCATCAAAAAGAGCTTTCAAATATAATAGCCCCATGGATACCTGTTCTGGATCTGTTGCTAGGAATCTAGCAGTACAACCAACTTATTTTCCATATCTTATCCTGATAGATAAAGTAAGCCTCGTCTCCTAACAGAGGTCAAGTGGATTGGACCAAGTATTTCAACACAGTAACTTTAAACAAAAATAGAAAATTAGGTGCTGGTCAGTAATTGACTACCAGCTTATGCAACTGGTTTCTTAGTCAGAGACTTTATAATACCTTCTTTAAAGGAAGCAAATGAATTGTCCTCTGCAAGGGAGGAATTAAGGCTCTCCACTCTCAGCAAATACCACTACGTGAGTGGGGCCGGGGTTCTAGTCAACATGAGCATGTGGCTTGTCGGGTGAAATATTCTAAGCAAATCCATTACCTCAGAGATTGGTCTCCTTTTTGGGGGCAGGTGGTTTTACAAGTTTTCCTAAACTTTATTAGCCTTTTGGATCAGTAACCCAATGACCTTTCAATTTTTTTACTTTTATTTTCCTTTCTTTCCTGTCAAGTCCATCTCAATACAGTGATGCACAGCAATTTGGCTATGATTTGCTGACATGTTGTCGGGGGTGGGGGGAAGAAGCCAATATCATTTCTCTCAAGAAGAGAAGGGCCAATAGAAATATTTCTTATAGAGTCCCTTAACTTTTCAATTACACCAAAGTGGGCATGTCTTCATGGGATGCTACTGCACAGTCATTACTGTGTATTTGTTTAGTCCATGTATTAGCAAGTACTAAATAAGTGCACAGTAACCAGAGTTACTGTGCAGTAGCCCCGGCAAACATCTTTTAAGTGATGCTACTGTGCAGTAGCCTAATAATACTGCGCAGTAGCGTATTAACATTGTCCATGCTGTGATGCGCTACTGTGCAGTCAGTGTCTTGTGTAGACATGCCCACTGATTCTTAATTGTCCACTTCGCAGAAGAAACCATTTTCCTGAGAAGCGTGTCATGGTTTGTACCCCACCACGTCCATAGCGCTAGAGAGGATATACTAGTCTCCTTAGACACACTATAATGGCTTTTATAGAAGTGGTTTTCAGAAAATGAGAAAGGAAACACTGTTGTTTACATTTTGTCACTGTGGTTATTGCAACCAGTGGGGTAATGCATTGTCCTGAAAAAGCATCTTTCCTCAAGTCAACTTTCCATTGTACTTCTTAGTGGCTTCTTGTAAGCAAAGTAGTTCAGATGCATAGTTTTCCCTCTTGAGAAGTGCTCAGTCATAATTCTCACCTTTTGCTGTTCCAAAAAACTATGGCCGTGATTACCAACTGATGCCATTGTCTTGGATTTCTTGAGAGGTGAAAACTGTGTACTTCCCGCTGCATACATTGCTGTATTGTCTCAGGATCAAGGTGATGAACCCATGTTTCATCCTAAGTTTCTGTTCTTGTGAATTTTTCTGCTTGCCCAAAATTGCCTTAAAACATTTCCCTAGAAATCAAGTTAACACTTTCTTCTGATGAAGGCTCAAAATTTCATCTTACTGAAACTTTCTTATCTACATCTTCAGTAATGATGGTACACATGGACCCAGTGCTGAGGCCTGTTGTCTCAACTATGTAACTGATGGTTGATCTTCTGTCATTCATCACCATCTAGTAGACTGTATCCACTTTTCTGGTGTGTTGGTCTCTGGGGCTGTCCTGACTCCAGCTCTTTCTCAGTGTTTACTTCCCCCTTGCTGAAATTTTGCTGTCCAGTATTTGTTTGTGGGGTTTTTTTGCTGTTGTTGTTTATTGTTGCATCATCCTCCTGTGTTGCCACCATATCTTCATGGATTTCCTTTGTTCCCAAGCCTTTCTTAAGAAGGTACATGATCACTACTCTGATTCCATTCTCTGTTTTTCTTCAAATTTTCAGTGGCTTGTTTCTCTTTGACATGTCCTCCTCCAAATTCTGCACAATTATTTTTAATCTGTTAAAAAGCCCGTCAAAATATCAGTATTTTAGTTTGTGAAATACCTCACATCTTAATATATTATTGTATAGGTCAGAGTAAATGCTTTCTACTCATAATGCAAACTTCAGAGCCCATACAGATCATTAATGAATGTTCTGTACTTATGCATAGAATTTAATCATTTTCTAAATATCCTGCACAATAATTGTTGACAGCTTTATGGATGGGTTTTTAGTTTACTGAAGTTTAATGAACTATGATATCGGAGGGATCAATGTGCCTGTTAAGTGATGCGCCCTTAGTTTCTCATTTTTTGAAGATTATTTCTAATGATAAATTTAAGGTTAGGGTTTACCTTATAGCCTGAAACATCATTTTACTGTAACAAGCCTTCATAACTTTATATTTTGGTTGCAGTGGAGCTTAGAGGATCAACTTCCTTTTTCATCTTGATAAAGACTTAGCTTTATCACAGCATTTAAATCCCCCCCCCCCCCCCAAAGTTCACTTTTTCATTCCTCAGACTCTTGAAAAGTCCTTCTCTCTGTCCAGAAGTGGTCCTTTTAATAAATTCTGTAATCTGGATATATCCTGGTACTTGGTGTCAGAAACAAAAGATGTCAGGTTTCTGTGTGGACAGTTCTAATGTTTGAAATCACTTGTGTTGCTCCATAGGTGGGTAGATTAGAATTAGAGTTCTGCAAACATTTCTACCATATTCTTAGTATACACCTTTATTAAAGGTTAGTATATAGATCCACAAAACTTGACAGTTCCAGCCTTTAGACCAAATGTCCTACAGGAGGCAGGGGATGCATCACTAAACATGTCCCATTCATGCGTTCTTTCTCTGAAGCATCTACTACTTGCCACTGTAAACTCTCCGGAAATGCTCCATCCATATACTCTGTCTTTAGCAGGGACGAGGTAAGTGCGGCCGTCAGGCTACACTGAGCCTGCAGCAGACTTAATTTTCCAGCAGCCCCTGCCCACATTGCTGCAGCTGGCTTCCATGGAGACCCCAGGAGCAGCTGCACCATGACAGCGTGGGGCCAGGGTTTCCATGGAAACTGATTCCACCAGCTTTGGCAGGGCATGCAGCTGGGTGGGGAGCTGCCCTGGGGCTGGGATCTTGCAGTAGTGACAGTGTGGTTTGGAGCCAGGGCAGAGCTGCAGTCTGCTGCCTGTGTGCTTTGGGCAGGGGCATGCAGGCAGTGGATTGCAATTCTGCTCTGGCTCTAGATCGCACTGTTACCACTGCAAGATCCCAGCCCTGCAGCAGCTGCTCAACCAGCCCAGCACTCTGCTGGGGCCAGTCTCCATGGAAACCATGGCTCTGCACTGTCATGGGGCAGCTGCTCCTAGGATCTCCATGGAAACCGGCCGGAATGGTGTGGCAGGGGCGGCTGGGAAATAGAAGTCCAGCTGCCTGCTGGGGTTGCCATTTTGTGTCATCCCCCCGCTCTGTAGTGTCTACAGCAGGGGTAGGCAACCCCCGGCATGGGTGCCAGAGTGTGGGACTCGAAGGCATTTTGCTTGGCACATGTGTCTCTGGGTGGATGGCAGGAAGAGCCCAGGGCTACACAGCAACAGCAAGGATTGAGCCCCTCATGGCTCCCCTGTCATCCACCCCTGGCACGCCAGCATCTTACAAGTTGAAGTTGTGGGTGTTTTTGGTGCTCTGCCCAAAAATGTTGCTGACCTCTGGTTTACAGCTTAACACTGTCAAAGACAAGAGACTGGGATACATGGAAGATGATCCTGATCCATTATGGTACCATTTACATTCTTATGTTATGTTCTGAGAGGCACTTTTTCCCTGACTCGTACTTATCCTGTTTATGCCCCAGTTGCCCTTCCTCCATTCATGATGTACTTCTGCTATGGGCTACCATTTCTTAGTAACCCAGTATTTGGATTGTCAAGTGGTCAACATATTATTCTATCTATAAATTGATTTCTCATACAGGAGTACACATCAATATAAGTTTTTTATGCTTCTTTATCTTCTTTCTTGTGTTATGAATCAGAATTATTGTGAATGAATTAAGTCTTTTGAAGGCTTTCCTGAGGTTGTGCCTGTACCTGTTTTTTCCTTTCTCCTCAAGCCAAGCAGAAAAATCTCTTTGATATTGAAAACAAAGAAATTTATCAGTATTTTTCTTGAATAATAAGGCTCCTTCTAGCTAGCCCCGAATCCAAATTGGCAGATAAACTCCCATGATGGGGAACCCAGTTAGCAGTAATTGTTTTATTCTCTGAAAAATGCTATAGGAAAGCGCATGGTGAGCTAATACATTAAATGTAAACATCTGAAGTGAATAAAACCCTAAATCACGTGCTTAGCAGTCTCTGTTTATTCCCTAGTTGTCGCTGTGCTGTTAGTCTTCTGGGTACAATTCAGAATGATTGAGACTTAGCTTGGTATGATTGGGGCAGTAAGGGAAAAGTTAGGGCCAAAAGAAATTGAGAATTTCTATGTAATCCTGTTAAGTTGATCCTCTACTTTGTTAATTCTAAACAGTAACATATTAAAAACACAAGAGACTTTAAAGAAGCTTAAAGCAGGTTTTCTTATGTCAGTTCTTAAATTGTGCTTTCAGGCTGCCAACAAGTGATAGCAGTGCATCAAAAGGAAAACAGCAAACCAGCGAACCTGTACATATTTTAAAGAGATCTTTTGCAAGAACAGTCTCAGTGGTGAGTATTGTCTGTAGTCCCCATTTACTCTGAGTTCATCTCTGATCATAAAAAATGTACAGAATTGCAGGGGAAATAATTAGTAAGTTAATTATTTTTAGCCGTATGCTTTACGGCTAAAAATAATTAGCCGTAAAGCATGTATGTGCCCCTATCTCCATAGGAAGATAGGGGCACATACCAAATGGTGTTTTTTTTTCAATTCTGTATAAAAGTTCAAATGCAAACTCGGGTACAAGTACAGTTTGGGCTACCCATCTAACTGAACAGCATTGCAACAACTATGTAGTTTTATAATATGCTTCTATCTTTTCACGAGTGAGCTAGCTCTGAAAATTGTCTTCATTTTTTATGTTGAATTCATTTTTACTGGTAGGACAGTTATTGGTTATACTTGCCAAATAAATACTAGCTATTCCTCGTAGTGGTGAGGCATTCTTACCATCTTACGTTATCATCCAAATACCATGATTCCTGATTAGTCATTTCTGAAATCAGTTTTCCTTCTGAATAAATTACATAACTTTGTATTTCCATAGCGTACATCATTTGAGGATATCAAAACACTTAATTAAGCTTTGCATATCTGTAGAGGTGGGGAATATTAATAGGGACATTGAAATATATCTGCCTCTGTAATATACTGTTCAAAAGCTGTGGTCTTCTCTGGCATCACAGCTCTGTAGTTTAAGACAGAATTAAGAATGCTGTATCTGATTAGAAATCTCAAGGAAACCCTTAGTTAAAAACATGCAGTTTTATGATTTGTAATCTGCCTGTTTTCCAAAAAAAGGACCGTGGAATCTTTATTAAACACAAGTGCTGGTTAGTTTAGCTTTCATCTTGTGTCTTTATTTTGTCTTGTAACAGTACCAAGCATATTGTTTGCATTTGTCAACTGATAATTTTTTGAAAGGTGCTATTTCCAGAAGCACAGTTCCATCTTAATTTTCTTCACCGGCTATCTTTTTTTGTGCGTCCATATCCATGTGGCTCTCAGTGCTTAAGAATTCTTCAGTGACCCAATTTGTCATCTCCTGCTCAGGTGTCTCCTTAAAATGCATTTTCCATATGATCTGCAAGTTCTAGTTGTCTTCTTTTATAACTCTTTCATTAATAACATAGTCTCCAAAGATCTGTGTATGATTTCAGATACCTGCATTATTAGACAAAAGCAGTTACATGATTTTTATTGCTGAAAATCATGTCGTTTCTTTCTTATCCTGTCACTGTTTGTCAACCGTTCTCATACCATGTTCTAGTTTTGTTTGGAAGCTACTTGCACTGGGAGCATCCTTCTGCATTTCTGTGGAGGACTGGCACTATACAGCTTTTTATATGTAATATTGAGCCACCATCACCATTTTTCCTGTAGCTCTTAGATGTTCCTTGAAGATGTCTGACCTAACTTGACTAAGGTTAGCTTGGGAGCTGTGACATTATGACCGTTCTAGGCATGTGTAAAACATAGACTTTTTCCCAGTGTGGTAAGGATGCACTCTGGGAAAAGTTGCTGTCATCCATAGTACTTAATTCAACAAGGAAAAATTGTTTCTGAAAATGTATTTAATTCATTAGAGCAGGGCTGTTCAATAGGTGGCTAATGGGCCTCATATAGCCCCTGAGGGATTAACCAGCAGGCCCAGACTCCCTGTCCAGGCACTGCTCGCCCATCACGCTTACACTACGACTGCTGAAGTCTCTAGGCTTCCATTCCCTTCTCCAGCTTGTCCTTCCTGTCTTGGGGGTGGGGTGGCTGAGGGAGCTCAGCCGGGGTTAAGGGAAATTTAGAGGAATGTGGAGACGCCATGGGGTGCCAGTGCTGCATGACGGGGCTGTCCATGTGGTACAATGCAGCATGGGGTCAGTTGTGCAATGTAGTGTGGCAAAAGGAGACCCATGCAGCCTGTGTGATGTATGCAGGGGTCCATAATCCCCTAACCACTCAACATGGACAGCCCTGCACTAGAGCTACCAGCTGTGGTGATCAGCTAATCAGTAATTCCTTTAGTTTTCTTTCCGTTAATAGGATCCAATAATGAATGTTACAGGCTATTGATGGGGTGTTTGTAATAGTGGAATAACTCCTGCATTCCAGTATTTTCTTTTTTTTTGTTCTCAAATTAAAAGTACTCTAATATGGTTAGTAAGGTTTACTCTAAAAAATCTATTGGCATCTACCACAATCTGTAGCATAAGAGTTTTGTGTCATTTGTCTTTTGTATCCCTTTCATCCTGAAATAGGAATGCTTTGAGTCTTTGTTGAGCATTCTTCACTGGAGCTGGACAACATTAGTGCTAGGAGTAGAAGAGCTTCGGGGGTTGAAAGGATTCCAATATACTGCCACTCTTCTTGATTTAGAGAGATTGCGTTTTGTGGGCACTTGTTGTCTGAGGCTTCTGCGGGTCTACACCTGTGAAATATATCCCATTTCAGGTAATGTTTTGGTTCTAATACATGCGACTGATATTTGATAAGTTGACGTGGGCTAAATTTCAGTGCATGTTGTAGAGAGGCAGCTGCACGCATTAGAGTTGGGTATTTGACAGGTCAAAGTTTGGTCAATTGACCAGTCAGATATTGGTCAAAGATTGTACCAAAAAAAAGCCAATACGTCCAAATAATACACAGAAAAAGCACAAATTTTCCATTAAAAAATGCGTAAAAAAATAATATATATATATATATTTCTGTCAAGAACACTAAAAAAACCTAGGTTTTTTTGTAAAATTGCTATAATCTTTGGCCAGTCAAAAACGATGCAGTCAGTTGACTGGTCAGTTGACAATGACCGGTGAATTGACTAGCTTGCCAACCCTAGCACGCACAAATGGAACTGCTTTTATTGAAGGAATAATAAGAGATTAATGCATTCAGAAATGAGACACTTTTGCGCTATTAATTGAGGCTAATCGAGCGTGCAGCTGCACATTTTTATGATGCAACTCCTAATTATGTTGAAATGTATCTGCATGCTTAAGTAGACAGCCATATCCCCAGACCTACCCTCTGGGATCTTTTATCCCAATTTGTACATAGTACTTTCTTTGTTAGTATGAATCACCCATTTGGACTTGAAAGTCAGTATATTTGTTCTTATCACGCCTGCTCCTTAGTGGTGTCTTTTAAAAATGCAGTATGTATTAGTGGTTTTCTTTATTAGGAAAAGAAATTCAAGTTCTTACTGCTTGTATATGTTTTAATGAGGCTTAATTTTGATTTGTCCTGTATTCGCTGTGTTGCTATATAAAATATGGAAAACATTTTTTTAATTTTTGTGCCTAACTTTCAAGTGTTTGACTTCTATCTGGAATTGCATTTTAATAAACAAGATGCAGAAATATTTTGTTAGATATAGACTAATGCTTTTCTCATAATTTTTCTAGCTACTGCTAAAGCTGTTGTCGAGGAAACTAGCAAACTAGCAGACTGCATTGGGAAAACTAGAACTCTTCTGAGAAAAATTTTATCCGAAGGAGTTGATCACTGTATGGTGAAGTTAGACAATGACCCCCAAGGATATCTGAGTCAGCCCCTGAGTCTCCTAGAAGCTGTTCTTCAGGAATGTCATAACACTTTCACTGCCTGCTTTCATTCTTTCTATCCAACACCAGCTCTACAATGGGCATGCCTTTGTGACTTGCTGAATTGTTTAGATCAGGTATGCTAAAAGTACCCTACAGTGCTGTTTTTTGCCTGCAGGAGAGGCAAAAATATTGTTAGATGTTCCATTTTTTACTTGTAACCAAGCCCGCAGACTGACCCAGCACTGCTCATCTGGCCAATGGGACTGAAAGGCTTGGCACTAATACATAAGATGCATGCCAGTGTGTCTGTGGACGCACCTGTACACACACACATGCACAGCATTTTGGATGTAAAAGTGAAGCTGTGCGGGCCGGGAGCGACCCGAGCCCTTTTCAGTGCTGCACACGGGCTGTGGCCGGCAGCCCGGCCATGCCGGGTTGGAGAGGGAAGGCCGTCGAGCTGGAATTAGGCACAGACGCGTATCGGTAGTTTTAAAGATTGTTTACTTACACCGAGATGGCAGTGGTGTAGGCTGGAAAACTTGCTTCAGTTGCGGTTACAGACAGGAAAGAAGAGAGGCGGACAAGAGTTCTAAACTCGTGAACTCTAGCCCAATCCGGCTGAAGGCTCTGAACATGCGAGCCCGTCGTGTCAACCGAAGAAAGTACTCGTCTGGAAGAGCTCTGAATAAACTCACACGAAGTTTGCTAGGCTCCGTGGGTTCTTCTGCTCACCCGGTCACACGAAGTTTGCTAGGCTTCGTGGGTCCGGTTCTTTGCGCACAGGAAGGGATATGTCTGGACTGCGCTCGGCGACGGGGAGAGGCTAGAGGTTGATCAGACCTCTGTTGCCTGCTTGAAATGTACTGGGTCCGTAAGGATCCGCAGCGCTTAGAGATCTTCACACAGCGTGAAGTCTCCTCCTCCCGGTGTTCGTGGAGTCCTCCAACTTGGGCGGAAACCACTCAAGCCTTTTATACGGCTAGCAAGCCAATCACTAGCCACCACGTGTGAATAATTTAGAACTGGCCAATAATGGGACTCGAATTAGCATACAAATGGCGGGAACTCTTTGCAACGAGCATTTCTGTGCTGCAGCAAAGAAATGCACCCTGCAAAGAAAGCTTCAAATTGGCGGGAAATTCTCCTTTGCACCGGGGTTTTCTTTTGCAGCAGAAAACTCCACTGTGCAAAGAAGCTGTAATTTAGCGGGGACAATTTAGCAGTGCCGAAGCACACAAAAACAAAAATCACACCCTTTGGGTTGTGACAGAAGCAACCTGCCAGTTTTAATCCAAAAAAAAGTGTGCGCCTTAGGCATCAAAAGTTTGGGAAACACCAGCTTAGCATCGTATAACTATTTCTTCATGGCACATTAATTTCACTTACAACTATTCATTGTATCAACAGCTCTGCAAATCAAACTCGTGGGTCTCAAGTCAGACATTCACAAATACAGAACATGGAATCAATGACCATCTGTGAAATTTTTGGTTTAAGGGACTTGTCTAACATCACAAAATACCTTTTTGGAAGAGGAGTGAAAATACATTCACTTCTCTTGTATAGCATTTATCTGCCTTCACCTGGCATCCAGCCTTGCTACATGAACATTTGTTATACACCATCAAGCTTCTGTAACTATTAGAATGAGTTTCCAAAGAAAAATCCTCCTTTTAATACATGACACTGATTTACCAACAGTATCTCCATATTGGGCACTGAATGAGTCATATGTCTTCTGGGAAAAAAAGGGTATACAGAGATGCATTTAATTCACATAATGGAGGCCTGAATCTTAAGGTTCAACAGTCCACCTTTGGTGGATTGATTTTAAATAATGAATTTATATCGTGATTTAAACTTGTAAGCAGGAAACCTTAATGATAAGTTATTGATTTTAATCTCTTTTCACGTTTACTCTTTTGTGGAAAAACTCATTTTATTAATATAACCATTTGCAACAAATAGAGCTTTAATCTCGTACTGTTGCTTGCTAACCAGAGGGTACGATATACATGCTTATTTAAGCTGTTACGCAGTTTGACACAGCTTGAATAAATAAACATCTGTGATGCAGTCACAAAAGAGACTGCAATGTAATGTAGAAATAAAGTAGCTAGCTTGAGAACCAGAAGCAAGTGATGGCAGTACAGGGTTTGGTGTGGGTTGGTTTAGTCTGCTGGGACATAATTACCTAAAATAAGTTTTCGCAAGCTAATTGAATTTGAATGCCTGTGCATAACACTTGGACTACTTCTAATACTATTCATTTAAAATATATGTGTGCGTGTGTTTTTAGGACATCCAGGAAGCAAACTTCAAAACATCAAGTAGCCGGCTTCTTGCAGCTGTTATGTCTGCCCTTTGTCACACTTCTGTAAAGTTAACCTCCATCTTTCCTATCGCTTATGATGGAGAGGTGTTGCTACGATCCATGGTCAAACAAGTCAGCACTGAGAATGATTCTGCACTGGTTCATCGTTTCCCACTGTTGGTAGCACATATGGAAAAACTTAGTCAGGTTAGTTTATGTTCTAAAATATTTATTTAATGTTTCATAGTAGTCAAAACAGTAAAACAATTTACACTCCTCCTATTATTTATTTAGTTACACAATTTATTTGCTACCTTTCCGAGCAAAGGCTCAGAGTGGCTTACAGCAAGGGAAGAAGAACAATTTAAAAGGGGAACTAAAATGGGCAACTAAAATAAATAATATAAAGCAGAGGCTCACTGAACAACATCTCAGCATAGTTTTTGGTTGCGAAATGCCTGCCTTAACAGAAAGGTCTTGCAGTGCTGAAAGACGTCCAGGCTTGAGCATCAGGCTTTTTTGAGCCTCAAAAGGGAGGGAGTTTCAGATGTGAGGAGCAGTGGCAGAGAATGACCTCCATATGTGCTCAACAAGCAAACTTGGCATATTGATGGTATTTGCAGGAGGTTGTTCCTACCCAACTTTAGCAATTTATGATACAGCGTAGGGGAGAAGATGGTCCCTTAGGTATGTAGGTCCCAGGCCATTTAAGGCTTTATAGGTGAAAGCTAGCACCTTGAATTGCACCTAAAAGGCTACTGGGAGCCAGTACAAAAGTTGGATCAACAGGACAGAATTTGCCTTGTCAACCTCCAAGTGAAGAGCATCAGCCAAGGCCACAAGCTCAGTCTCTGTGCTGTATCCAGGATGAAAGCCAGACTGACAAGGGTTCAGGAAACCAATTGTATCCAGATGCACCTGGAGCTGCCAGGTGACCACACGTTTAATGACCTCCAAAATGAAGGTTTGGAAACAGAGTGATAACTGGATGCAGGAAGTTCCCCATTTTATCTACTCTGGCTGGCTTTTACAAGTGAGGATGGGCACAGTGGGGCCAGTTCACAGCTGGTCACCCTCATCCCTCCAAGTATATCTCCATCAGTGGATGATAGCTATTTAAAACAATCCACATAAACAGGCAAAGACCTGGGCATCCCCAGCCCCAAACTCTGACTCTGCTGGATATGAGTGATTTTTTTGTCTGCAAAGTAGGTGGCAAACTGGTCACAGTAAACTTAGTTTCTGGGCAGAGATCAGCCCTTCACCAGGCCATTCACCACACAGAAGAGTTCTTCTGAATGACACTTTTTGTAGGTACAATGGCAATGGAAAAGAAATGCTTCTTTGCTGCTGCCACACCTACGAAATAGTCCTTTAAGAAAGTTATGTGCTGCAATTAGTCCATTGCAGCATGAGTTGAGCCACCTGCATTCTAGCCACCTACTGTCCCACTTGAGCTGTTCAGTTCCCCTACATACCAAGGGGAATTGTGCCACCACAGTGGTAAGAGCCCCTGTGTCTGTGACCAAGACAACCAAACCATTGACAGAATAGCTGTCAAAGGCATGGGAATGTCTCCCTGAGAGTTGTGGAACTGTGGAGTCTTCAGGGGTGAACCAATCTAGTTAGTTCAGTACCCTGACAGGGGTGGTGGAGGACAGAGATCTGTACCTGTTGGAGGTAGTGGTCTGGCCATGGCAGGTTTTTTGACAACATACCTGAAAATTGGAGCCTCTGTATCCAAGCAGATGCAAACCATTAGATCCAGTGTGTGCTCTGCATCATGTACCGTGTCCCTAGGTATTTTTGAGTATTGCAAAAATTGTATTGCTTTCTTAAGAAAAAGGTATGTGAGGCAAAATTCAGAATCAAAGCTTACCTCACCTTTGTAATTCACAAAATATGTCAGCATGCCAAAAGTACAGTTATCAAAGATAGGTAAGTATGTATGAAATTGTGCTTACTTCATGTAAAATATAATGTGCAGATTTTGCTTTGCAGAGTTCTAGCTCTGATTTAGATCTGATACAACATTCTGATTTTAAATTAAGTACCCCTACCA